GTTCTGAATATAACAGGAGTCAATGCAATGACAGAGGGTCAAACGTTTCCTGTAAGTCTTCACAAGTTGGCACACACTGTTGCTGGTATGTTGGCCCCATTCCTCCCTGCAGATCTCCTCTAGAGCAGTGATGTTTTGGGGCTGTCGCTGGGCAACACGGACTTTCAACTCCCTCCAAAGGTTTTCTATGGGGTTGAGATCTGGAGACTGGCTAGGCCACTCCAGGACCTAGAAATGCTTCTTACGAAGCCACTCCTTTGTTGCCCGGGTGGTATGTTTGGGATCATTGTCATGTTGGAAGACCCAGCCACGTTTCATCTTCAATGCCCTTGCTAATGGAAGGAGGTTTGCACTCAAAATCTCACGATACATGGCCCCATTCATTCTGTCCTGTACCTGGATCAGTCGTCCTGGTCCCTTTTGCGGAGAAACAGCCCCAAAGCATGATGTTGCCACCCCCCCATGCTTCACCGAAGGTATGGTGTTCTTTGGAAGCAACTCGGCATTCTCTCTCCTCCAAACACGACGAGTTTGTGTTTCTACCAAACAGTTCTATTTTGGTTTCATCTGACCATATGACATTCTCCCAATCCTCTTCTGGATCATCCAAATGCTCTCTAGCAAACTTCAGACGGGCCCGGACATGTACTGGCTTAAGCAGGGGGACACGTCTGGCACTGCAGGATCTGAGTCCCTGGCAGCATAGTGTGTGTTACTGATGGTAGCCTTTGTTACGTTGGTCCCAGCTCTCTGTAGGTCATTCACTAGGTCCCCCCGTGTGGTCCTGTGATTTTTGCTCACCGTTCTTGTGATCATTTTGACCCCACGGGATGAAATCTTGCGTGGAGCCCCAGATCGAGGGAGATTATCAGTGGTCTTGTATGTCTTTCATTTTCTAATTATTGCTCCCACAGTTGATTTGTTCACACCAAGCTGCTTGCCTATTGCAGATTCAGTCTTCCCAGCCTGGTGCAGGTCTACAATTTTGTTTCTGGTGTCCTTCGACAGCTCTTTGGTCTTCACCATAGTGGAGTTTGGAGTGTGACTGTTTGAACTTGTTATCAGTATAAAAGACACCTGTCCACAACCTCAAACAGGTGCCATTGAAACAGGTAATGAGTGCCTCTTAAAGAAGAAGGTACAGGTCTGTGAGAGACAGAAATCTTGCTTGTTTGTAGGTGACCAAATACTTTATATTCCATCATATTTGCAAATAAATGCTTTCCAAATCAGCCAATGTGATTGTCTGGATTATTTTTTCTCATTTTGTCTCTCATAGTTGAGGTCTACCTATGATGCCAATTACAGGCCTCTCTCATCTTTTTAAGTGGGAGAACTTGCACAATTGGTGGCTGACTAAATACTTTTTTGCCCCAGTGTATGTCCCAGGACCTTGGTAAAATCCTGCAAGAATTTCACTTTTATACTTACCTTTATAGTCTGCCTTGAGATGATGCCTCCCCATCCGTTAACCATTTCCTGACATATTTGACTCTCCCATCCCTTCAAGAAGCCCATTGAGACCTAATGGACCAGCCTATCACTTGTGAGTAAATCCAGAATGCTGTAAAAACTGTAAAGCTCCACATAAATCACCAGGACTGGATGGTCTTCCTCATTCTTATTATAAAACCTTTTCTGTTCTTTTGATTCCACATATGGCTCATTACTTTTAATTATCTATGGGACAGGGTGGGGTGCCATTTGATGAGAATAGAGCGCGTATATTAGTGTCATTCCCAAACCTAAGATACCACTGCTGTTCCTAATTACCATCCTATTTCTCTAATCAATTGTGACCTTAAGATCCTTACTAAGGTCTTGGCTTACCCCTTAATACATTTTTAGCACCTTACATTCATGATGATCAATCAAGGTTATTAGAGGTCGTCAAACACTTGACCAGATTTGTTGAACTTTGGCATTACTATCTGCTGTACTGTACAATCTAACTGGGATAATTCCTTGCCAAGAGAAGTATTACTGCTGTCTCTAGATCTTCACAAAGGGTTTGATAGCTTGACCTGGGACTATTGGTTTCAGATATTGTGCGCCTTTTGGGTTTGGCTCCTCCTTTCAGTTTCTTTTACGAGCAATATATTGCAACCCCTCAGCTCAGGTTTCTATTCGTGGGTATAAATCGGCTCCTCTTCCTATTAGGAGAGGCACCAGGCACTCTCCCCCTTACTTTTTGCATTGGAAATAGAACCTTTCACTATTGCTATTTGTTCTGACCCTGCCATCTCAGGTATTCATTGCGGCCGATGGGATCACAAATGTGCCCTGTTTGCTGATTATGTCCTTATGTATGTTTTCCAACCACCGAATGTCTTTGCCCAATTTTTGTTGACTTTACTTCGATTCTCTCTTAGCTCGGGTCCTCAGTCTAAATTCTTCTAAAACAACTGCATTAAATCTCATTTTATCCTCTTCAGAGGATAACTTTGATTTTGAATGGGCTCCCCACTCTCTTCCCTATCTGGGGATCCATCTTACACGTTCTATTTACAACCTTAAATCCTTTCCAATTATCCCCCACTTTTAAATGACTCAAGGAAAATTTGAATAGATGGGCAGCCTTCCCTTTATCTTGGTGTGGTAGAATCAATTCTATCAAGATGACCCTTTAACCAAGATTGCTCTATTTTTTTCAGACATTACCAATTGTGGGTCCCCAGAGAAGAAATTTTGCACTTACAGTCCAACATTTCTCGATTCGTGTGGGGTAATAAACATCCTCGGATCAATAATTCGACTTTATATTCCCAAGAAAAAGCATGGCGGTTTGGGACTTCCTAATCTCTTGATTTATTTTCACGCGGCCCAGATAATAGTTCTTACACTACAGCCATAGGTACTGTACCTCAATGGGTTGGCATTGAAGACTTATCTTGTCATCCTTATGCTATTGGTTCTCTCATGTGGCTCCAAAATCGATTGCGTCCTTGTTTTCTCCTCATATCCCCCTGGCCCCAGTCTTTTGTAATCCTGAATTTGTACCTAGTTTAATGCCATCTGTGTTTCAATGGTGGATCAATAAAGGCTTTCTACGTATTGGGGATTATCTGGATGGGAATCATCCATACTCAATGTACAATATTTCTGAGAAAAAATACCAATTGCCTTCTCGTGAAATCTTTTGTTATAACCAAATTGTGTAATATATCCACTCTAAGCTTAAATTACTGATGGAACCCCTTACACTCACCTCTCTCTAACTTTCTTGTCATGCTTCTGGTGTGGTGAAAGGTCGCATAACTATTATATATACTTCCCTTATTGATCCAAATGTTAAACTTTTTTATATGATACAATGGGAAAGGAATTTAAATATCTCAGAGTTAGATGCTTGGCAGGACATAGCTAATGCTTTATCTAAAATCTCTACTAATACCACTCTTATTGAATCTAAATTATATAAATTTTCCTACGTTGGTAACTAGTCCCTAAGCGTCTTGCCAAAATGTACCCTACCATATCACATTCTTGTTTTCAACAATATGGGCAGGAGGGCACTATGTGCCATACTTGGTGGCTATGCCCTGTGGTGACTAGATTTTGTATCCGTTTATTCAATTTTCTCTATTTGGTGACAGGAGTGAACGTTCGTTCATAGATCCCCAGAGGTGGCCCTATTTCAGAAATTGCCCACAGACATCCCTAAGAAATTGGTTAAATTGATTCTTTACATTTTCCTGGCGGCGAGAATTATGATCGCCAAATACTGGAAGCGATCGGTGATACCGTTTGACTATGCCAAAAGTAAACTCCATTGGATCATGATTAATGATAAGCTCACTAGTATTCTTAATAACCATGTGTCTAAATTTGATAGTACAATGGGAACCCTGGATTCGATATCTTGGGAATCATGGATTCGATATCTTTCTCTTACTTAGACTCCTGGCTGATTCTCCTTTTTTACTTTTTTTTTTATTTTCCTTCCTTTTTATTTCAGACTATTTTTTTCCATAGTTTCAATATCCGACATCCCACTTTGTTGCAATATATGCTGATATCTGACTAAGGATTGCATAAGTCTAGAGATACTTTATTTTCACACAGAATATCTTATGTCGGACTATTTTTGCCTAGTAGTTTACGTTGGACTCTAGCATGCACCTGAGGGATTGTTTTTTTTTTTTTTTTTGTATGCCTAATTACTTGATTGTATCATTCCTTAGTAAATAGGCTTACTGTTTGGAATCCTGCAACCCACAATTGTGGGTTTTATTCCTTTTGTATGCTGTTTCTTTAATAAAAATATTGGAATACCAGGACATTAAATTAGTGGAAATCTCTCTAATGGAGAAGATATACTTCTTTACTTGAAGGCCCTAAAATCCTTGACTGGCCTTCTCCAGGATGTTCTTCTCTAGCAGGCTTGCCCCTATTTTTTTTTCTCTACTGCATTCCTTATCTAACTTAGAAGTTTGTAATATATATTGCTTTGCCTGTCAGTTCTTGGCCTATGCCTTTTGGTTTTCCTGTGTCCTTTTCCATTTCTCTCTAGGCTGTCCATTTCTATCACTTTATTTTTTATGTATGGTACATAACTGGTTCAGGATATAAGTTTGCCCTTCTTTCTTATTCTCCAAGTTCCAAGCTGTTATGGAGAATGTTGCTTGGAAACTAGGAACATATTTTAATAAAACCCTTTAATGCTCTCAGGCACACACATTGAATTCTGCAATAAAGTGACAAGTGTCTGCAGTCTTATCCAAAAGTAGAATGAGAACCCTGCTGAATCTGGCTAAATTATATTTTAAAACTTAGATCAAAGAGAAATTTGAATAGACTTTGTAATTTTACCATAAATGCAGTGGTTTCTATACAGTGTAATCAGTTCACTGATCCACTTTATCTATTGGTGGGCATGATACTCAAATTTTTTGTTTATTTTGTAGGTGCAGTGGCTTGAACAACAGGTTCTGAAGAAAAGGACTAAAAGACATATAAGCGGGGTGCCTACAGATCCCTTGTTCCATAAGCAGTGGTACATGGTAGGAAGCTGTTAGTAGCAATGTTATAAGAGGATCACCAAATAACTGTAATAGAATAAATAACTGAAATTCCTTATTAAACAAAGCCCTTCAATGACAGCAAGCTAAAAGTTACAAACTTTAAAGTGTATCTATTACCAAACTGTTGATGTACTTCCAAGAACAGGACTTGTCAGACTTTCTTTGGCTTTAATACTTTCGGAAACATTGACCTAGAACAAGCATGAAAATTAGAAAGGCAGGTTACATTTAAAATGGCTGAACTGCATACTTTGCTTTTCAGGTCAGTGCTTAATTTCTGAAGTCATTGGATCAGAATGACAGCTAGGTATACTCTCAAATGGAGGTGTCAGTATAGCAGTACAAGCTCTTGCAGTATTTTATTGTAGGTTTACTTCTGTAGTTCTTTCTCGCTGGTGCAGTGCACCTGTTAGTGCCAAACCTGGTGCATATAAACTACACAAAAAGTATTTGCCCCCCTTTCTGATTTTTTTTTTTTTTTTTTGCATATTTGTCACATTTTAAATGATTCAGATCATCAAAGAAATTTTAATATTACACAAAGACAACCTGAGTAAATACAAAATGCAGTTTTTAAATGACGAGTTCATTTAAGGGAAAAAAACTGTCCAAACCTGCCTGGCCCTATGTAAAAAAAAAAACTAAAAATAAATTGCCCCCCTTGCTAAATCCTGAATGAACTGTGATTAACATTTTTTGGAAAGCTGAGTTAAATTTCACTTACCATGCCCAGGCCTGATTACTGCCGGACCTGTTGAATTAAGAAATCACTTAAATAGAAGCTGTCTGAGAAAGTGAGGCACGCTAAAAGATCTCAGAAAGCAACACGTCATGCCACAATCTAAGGGGATTCAAGAACAGATGAAAGACACAGTAATTGACATGTATCAGTCTGGAAAGGGTTACAAAGCCATTTCTAAGGCTGTGGGACTCCAGAGAACCAAGGTGAGAGCCATTATACACAAAAGGGAAAATAACCAAATTACTCCAAGAGCACAATGACAACTCATTCAGGAGGTCATAAAAGAACCCAGAACAACATCTTAAGAACTGCAAGCCTCACTTACATAATTTAAGGTCAGTGTTCAAGATTCAACAATAAGAAAGAGACTGGACAAAAATGGCATCCATGGGAGAGCTCTAAGACGTAGGTCACTGCTGACCAAAAAGAACACAAAGGCTTCTAACATTTAGCATAAAATTTAAAATAATATTGTGGCGCCTAGTGTCATTGTGTTAAATAATACTATCGTGCCCACACTGTGCCAACAATGTGAATTTACAGCTGCCCCTAAAAAGTTAAGTTACACTTAAGCATATACAATCGTGAATAGGTAGGCGCTGTGCAACCATAAATCATATAATCAACAATACGTCTCTCAACATTTTACAACAAAATAGTATTTAAAACTAGGTGCAATGCTTACATACTCCCAGTGTTAACTGAACAGTAATAAACCTTAATCAATAATAAACGTGAAGTGAATCACAATGTTAAAGTAACAGTCCTTTCAAAATATGTTGCTCTGGACCAGGAATTTGCATGCTTTCACCCCGTGTAGATGGAAATAAGTGAATTGCTCACTCACCAGACTTATTTGACCACAGTTAAGGTGGTCAATAGCGCATTGTTATGACATATACAGGAAGATCCTCCTCCTGGCTTTCCTAGGATTTTCCTCCCAATCATCAGCATAACGCTGATAATAGCCCTAGATGTATGATCCTAAGTTTCCAGGTATACTGACGATAAATAAACTCTGTCAGGCTTTCCTTTCCATTAAAGGGATGTTCCAGGTAACTCAGAATGCATAAAATCTGTTTTGATTTACTTAAGTGCAGCATTTATTGGTATAAATTGTTTTGTAAAAAACAAACAATTGTGTACTCACATGCAAAGGTGCTCTAATAACCGGCACCAGTCTGTATAGCCTGTGTGATCCAAAAATGGCTGACGCGCGTTCCAAGCCTTGCTTTCGCTGAGCCGGACATGACATCACCGGAACCCGGAAATGACAGAATCACGCTTCTAACATTTTCCCAAAAACATCTTGATTATCCCCAGGACGTTTGGAAAAATATTCTGTGGACTGATGAGACAAAAGTTTAACTTTTTGGCAGGTGTGTGTCCCGGTACATCTGGCATAAAACTAACACATCATTTCATAAAAAGAACATCATATCAGCAGTCAAACAGTGTGGTTCTAGTGTGATGGTCTAGGGCTGCTTTACAGTTGCAGGACCTGGACGACTTGCCATAGTCAATGGAACCATGCATTCTGCAATCTACTAGAAAATTCTGAAGGAGAATGTCTGGCCATCAGTTTGTGAGTTCAAGCACACTTGGGTTATGCAGCAGCACACCAGCAAGTTCACCTCTGAATGGCTCAGAAAATCTAAATTAAAGTTTTGGAGTGGTATAGTCAAAGTCCGGACTTACATCTGCTATAGGTCATGCCACAGCACCTCAATCAGATTTAGTACTACAAGGGTGGCACAGCTGTGCAAAATCCCGTGTGTATATATATATGTGATTTGCATTTCTGGGTAGGGGGCGCGTATGCATGCCTCCCTACCCGTGCTGCTATTGGCTGCTGAGAATGTGAATCACTGGGTCCTGACTGGGAATTGGTTATCATCTGTAAAGCTGACAGGAGGGACCTGTAGGTAAACAACACAGGTCTCTCTCCTGTCAGCATGGACATGCTGCTTTGTATCTCTCTGAACAGCAGAGAGATACAAAGCAGCATGTCTCCCAAGTAAAACACACACAGCACACTGTTAACCCTTTGATCGCCCCAGATGTTAACCCCTTTCTGCCCAGTGTCATTAGTACAGTCAGTGCTTTTTATTAGCATTGATCACTGTATTAGTGTCACTGGGGATGTCAGTGGCAGTCAAGTCAGTTCCCACCCAGAATGCCTACCGCAGTTCCGTTTATAAGTCGTTGATTGCCTCCATTACTAGTATAAATAAAAATTCCATTATATATACCGCCATTTGTAGAAGCTATAACTTTCACTTAAACCAATTAATTTACACTTATTGGGATTTTGTTTTAGCAAAGACATGTAGCAGAATACATTTTGGCCTAAATTTATGAAGAAATTTTATCTTTTTTAATTTTTTATTGGATATGTTTTATAGCAAAAATTAAACAAATATTTTTTTTTTTTTTCAAAATTGTTGGTCTTTTTTAGTTTATAGTGAAAAAAAAAAATGCAGAGGTGATCAAATACCACCAAAAGAAAGCTCTATTTGTTGGTGGGGATGACATTTCACTTATGTGTACAGTGTTGTATGACCGTACAGGTGTCAGTTAAAATAATGCAGCACCGTATCACAAAATATGGCCTGGTCAGGAAGGGGGGGTAAATCCTCTGGAGGGCAGGTGGTTAAACAGGCTGTTCATGCTCAAATCCTCTAATGTGGCTGAATTAAAACAATTCTGCAAAGAGTGGGCCAAAATTAATCCACAGCAATGTGAGACTCATTGCCAATTATTGCAAATGCTTGATTACAGTTGTTGTCGCCAAGGGTGGCACAACCAGGTATTAGGTTTAGGAGGCAGGTTTGGACAGCTTTTTTTTTCCCTTGATAAATAAAATCGTTTTAAAAAATGTATTTTGTATTTACTCGGGCTAGCTTTGTGAAATAAAATCTGAAACATTTGTGTGACAAATATGCAAAAAAAAAAAAAAAAAATCAGGAAGGGGGCAAATACTTTTTCACAGCACTGTATAAATGTGTTTGAAATTTAGCCATCTGTGTTGTCCAAACACAAATTCAGTGTTGTTAGAGGCAACACAAATTCTTTGATTTTTCCACCACCTGTTATGAATAAGGCATAGTATTAAAATTAGTTTGGGTAAGTTTGCATCTTTCTTTCAGTATTAAATAGTATGTGGGATCTGATTTACAGAACAATGACATTAGTCCAGACTTGAACGTGTTAACTGCATGGCGTCGTGGCTTCTCAGGAAAAGGTGTGGTGGTAACTATCCTGGATGATGGAATTGAGAGAGATCACCTGGATCTAGAAGCAAATTTTGTAAGCCATTATATATAATAGTAGTTCAGTGATAAATATTCTGTTTCAAATACCACTTTGTGCATTAACATACCACCTTAGACCAAGTCTGTTCAAACTGTATAGTCACCTGCTGACTTGGCACCATTCACTGACAGCCTAACTCTTCAGTAAGACACAGAAATTGAATCAAATGCAATTTACTTCAGCTAATTCCAGTACAAGAAATGTTTTATAATCTTTTTAAGTGTAAGAAGACCGTGACTTTTCTAAGCCCTGTCTCTGCGAGTACTAACACTGATTTGAGGTAACGTAAGAAACTAGGAAAGTCTAGCTAGAACTGAACTAAATAGCATTAAACAGATGGGAAAGACAGAGGGGGATACCAAATTTTATTGGTAAACAAGTTGTAGTGTCCCACAAATACCACTGGATGTTGTTAGTGCTATATAAATCCTGTATTATAATAACAGTTTTCTCATTGCTTTCCAATATAAAGGGAGACAATAGAGCAACAATACAGTTCAATATAAGAGGGTTAGGAGGGCCCTGCTCCTTGGAGCTTACAATCTAAGAGGGAGGGGCCGGTGGTACAAAAAGTAATAACTGTGGGGGATGGACTGGTAGGAGGAATAGAAATTCCGTTATTCGCTGAAGGCAGGATAGGCTTCCCTGAAGAGAGAGGTTTTCAGAGATCGCCTAAAAGTGGGCAGAGTAGGCAATAGTCATCAGACTATTTTGGGGTAGAGAGTTCCAGAAGATAGAGGAGGCTCTGTAAAAGTCTTAGAGAAGAGCATGGGAGGAGAAGACAAGGGAGCTAGAGAGCAGAAGGTCGTGGGAGGAGCAGAGAGGACGGTTTGGGTGATATTTGGAGACAAGATTGGTGATGTAATTTGGGGCAGAGTTATAAGTGGTTTTATGTTAATGTTTTGAATTTTATTCATTGGGCAATGGGAAGCCAGTGGAGCAATGGCAGATCTGGAACAGTTAGTAAGGTGGTTGAGTCTGGCAGCAACATTCATGATAAACTTAAGAGGGGATAGTTTGCGATTAGGTCGGCCAATGAAGAGGGAGTTACAATAGTCAAGGCGAGAGATAACTAGGGAGTGAATAAGTTGCTTAGTAGTTTCAGAGGTTAAGAAGGGGCGTATCTTGGAGATGTTGCGGAGGTGAAGTCTACAAGATTTGGACAGTGATTGGATTTGGGGCTGAAAGGACAGATGGGAGTCTAGGATTACACCTAGTACCCTGGCATGAGGGGAGGGACTGATGGTTGTATTATTGATTTTGATGGAGAAGTCAGGGGAGGGGGCACGGGCTGGGGGAATACCAAGAGCTCAGTTTTAGAAAGATTGAGTTTGAGGAAGTGGAGTGACATCCATGCCGATATGTCGCTTAGTAGGATAGTAATGCGAGAGGAGACTGAAGGGGTGAGGTGAGGGGTAGAAAGATATATTTGTGTGTCATCAGCATAGAGATGGTACTTAAAGCCATGGGAGTTTATCAGGTGTAGATGGAGAAGAGAAGGGTGCCTCAAGGACAGAACCTTGAGGGGCCCCTACGGAAAGAGGAAGTGGAGAGGAGGAGACCGAGCTATAGGTAATGCTGAAGGAGCGCTGCAATAGGTAGGAGGTGAACCAGGAGAGAGCAGAGTCTTGGAGGCCAAGAGAGAGTGGAGTTTTCTGAGGAGGAGGGGATGGTCAACAGTATCAAAAGCTGCAGAGAGGTCAAGTAGTAAGAGTATTGATTAGTGGCCATTGGTTTTAGCAGTTAGTAAATTATTAGTGAGTTTTAATAGGGCAGTTTCAGTGGAGTGGAGTGAGCGAAAGCCAGACTGTAAAGGATCAAGAAGGTTGTCAGTGAGGTAGGAGCTCAGGCGATTTGTAGACTAAGCACTCTAAGAGTTTAGAGGTAAACGGGAGCAGGGAGATGGGTCTTAAGTTGTTCAGGTTGGTGGGGTCCAGCAAGGGCTTTTTAAGTATGGAAATGATGTGTGCATGCTTTAGAGGGGTAGGGAAGGCACCATTAGAGAGGAAGAGATTGAAGATGTGTGCGAGGGAGCATAGGATAGAAGAGGGTGACTGTAGTAGTTTAGAGGGGACAGGATTCTGGGGGCATGTGGTGAGATGGGCTTTTGAAAAAACTTTAGTGACCTCTTCTTCAGTAGTAGCAAGGTCAAAAGAAGAACGTGTTGAGGGAGGTTTAGTACAAGGTATGCTAAGTGGGATAGATGTGTTTGCAGTGGAAATGCCCCTACAAATTGCATTAATCTTGTTTTTGAAATGATCTGCAATCTCATAAGCAGTGAGTGAGGTACTGGGTGGAGGTGGAGAAAGTAGAGAGTTAAAAGTAGAGAAGAGATGACGAAGACTGGATGACAAGGTATTAATAAGAGTGACAAAGTAGGCTTGTTTGGCAGCATGGAGGGAGGAACTGTATGTTAAGAAAGCAGATTTCTATAGGGTGAATGCTTGCTGAGATTTGGTTTTACGCCACAATCGCTCCAGTGCACGGCTATGTCTCAAGATTTCAGATGTCAGTCTGCCACGGTTGTAATGGTCGGGGCCTAATACTTCCTGTAGTTAGAGGAGCAAGTGAGTCTAGTGTGGATGAAAGCAAACTGTTGTAGACAGCAGTGGCCAGATCAGGGGAGATATTCTGTCATAGAGGCAGTCAGTTGCAGAGTGGAAAAGAGAAGGGTTTAAGTTGTGAAGGTTTCTGCGGGTAATTGCTGCTTAGAGGGATAGGTGTGTGAAGACAAGGACACTGAAGGTGATGAGATTGTGATCAGAGAGGAAAGGGGGTGTTTTGTGAGATTGTAGTTAGTGCAAAGATGGGAATACATTAGATCTTGTTTTCTCCCATCAGAGTGAGTGGAGGACTGTGTCCATTGTCCATTGTGTTAAGGCAAAAGATGAGGTTAGGTTGTAGAGTTGGAATGTAGCTGGGTTGTTAACATTAATAGGGATGTTAAAATCTCCAAGAATGATGGTGGGTATTTCAGAGGAGAGAAAGTAGGGTATTCAGGCAGAGAAGTCCTCAAGAAAGCAGGACACCGGTCCAGAAGGCAGGCAGATCACCTCAATCCTCAGAGAAATAGGAGAAAACAGCTGAATGCAGTGAGTCTCGAAAGAAGAGAAGGATCAAGAGGGAGGGTTATGGAGGACTTGAAAGGTGCTCAGTGGGGATAGAAGCAAACCAACTCCACCTCCCTTTCCGACCACTGGGTCTGGGTGAGTGAGTCCAGAGAAGGCCTCCATAAGAAAGTGCTGCAGGAAAAGCAGAATCTGCTCCTTGAAGCCAGGTTTCTGTAATTGTTAGTAGGTTAAGGGAGTGAGAGACAAAAAGGTCATGGACAGAGGCGAGCTTATTACAGACAGAGCGGGCACTCCAGAGTGCACATGAAAAAAGAAGGGTGGTTTTTAGGAGCCCTGGGGATTGCGATTAAATTGAGGGGATTGCGGCTATTCCTGGAAGAAGGCAGGTGCCTGGTGTGGGGGGTGAGATACTGGAGGACCAGGGTTTTGGGAGATATCCCCAGAGCTTAGAGAAGGAGGAGGGTGAGGATAGTAAGGAGGGAGCTGGATGTATATGAGTGCACATGCCTTCCTGTCCTGGTGTTTGGGTCAGCAGGTGAGTAAAGTATCAGCAGGAGGTGATGAGAGCAGTAGTAGGGAGATGGTAAAATTGAGGGTGATATGTATAAGCTTTGGGGTGGAGCAGAGGGATAAAGAAATTATATTTTGAGAACAGAGGATAGTAATCTGAAAAGGAGGAGTAGAGGGGGCATATTAAAAGGTACATGGAGTGGGAATCAGACTTGTAGGAGATGTTTCCCAGGGTGTTTGCTTGCAGCCCTTTCAGCATGCGGTAGAGTTCTTTGTTGTTTCTTCCTGCTGCTTGAGTTATCCTGCGTTAGTTAAACTGCTGTGTTTAACTGCTGCTTCGCATTCCAGCAGACAATGCACTCAAGCAGGACAATGGCCATGTAGTTGATCCTCAGTAGCTTCTAAGCAGACCTCAGAGTCTGTAATACAGCATGTACTCTCACGGAGTGCAGAAAAGACCACGTGGCTGAGGATCAGGGTTATTATTGCAGGATGTGCTACATCTTCCTCATGCTGATGTGGCATAAGTTCATGTTACCTGGGTTTTGTTTTATCCCTGTAACAAGTCAAAATGGCAATTAAACAGGGTGTATATTGCAAAAGTGGCATTAGTGAAAAGGCCTATTTGTGAAGCTTTATCAGAGAAAAATGATTTTATGGAGGTATCAGTCATAACATTATAAAATGTATATTCTTTAGGATACCATGGCAAGCTTTGATTTCAATGATAATGACCCTGATCCTCAACCACGATATACCCCTTCTAATGAGAACAGGTGGGTACTTTATGTACGTGTGTGTGCGTGCGTGCGTGTGTATACAAGCTGAGCACAAAAACACTCCTTGATTTCAAGTAGTTATAAAATCAAAACTTATTGAAGTAGGTTTACAAATATGGTGACCGCAGATACATCCCGCCGCCCTATAGCAGAAATATTGCTACAGGGTGGCAGGGGTGCACAAAATCACGTGTGTGTGTATATACATGATTTCGCATTTTCGGGTCGGGGGCGCGTGCTCTACCCACGCCTCACCTGTCGATCACCGGGTCCCGGACAGTGATTCCCTGGTGATTGCCATGTATCACCGGCAGGGGAACACACACAGAGGCAATCAAATACCACCGAAAGAAAGCTCTATTTGTGGGGAAAAAAGGACATAAATGTTATTTGGGTGCAGCGTTGCATGACCGCGCAATTGTCAATTAAAGTAACGCAGCGCCATATTGCAAAAAATGGTCTGGTCAGGAAGGGGGTAAAGCCTCTGGAGGGGGCAGGTGGTTAAAGCCGGTCATCCATGGGTCGCATTCCGCAAAGGATTTTCTTTTGAAAATCTTTTCTAAGAATTTTTGTTTGAATTTCACTTCATTAGTGGGCCACAGCAACGACCGATTTTTGAGCTACCATCGAATTTGAGCGATTGGGCATGTTGGTAATTTTATGGAAAAAAACAAACAAATTTCTAATCAACGATGGAAGAATCATGTGAGAAATATAATTGAAAAAGAAATGAGCATGAGTTGTGACCTATAAAGAAAACAAAATTCTTGGCCACAAAAATTATTTTCTGTAGCAAGATGAGGTAAAAGCTTGCTTGGTTGAATTTTTGAAATCAATGTTGGTACCAGTGGATTACAAGATGTAAGAAATTTCTGATCTAAAGAAAATGTGTGTGTATGTATGTATATGTGTATATGTATGTGTGTATATATATATATATATATATATATGTGTGTGTGTGTGTGTGTGTGTGTGTATATATATATATGTATATATGTGTGTGTGTGTGTGTGTATATGTGTGTGTGTGTGTATATGTATATATATGTGTGTGTGTGTATGTGTGTATATGTGTGTTATATGTGTGTGTGTGTATATATATATATATATATATGTGTGTGTGTGTGTGTATATGTATATATATATATATATATATATATATATATATATATATATAATATATATATATATATATATGTGTGTATATGTATGTGTGTGTATATGTATGTTATATATGTATATGTGTGTATATATATATATATGTGTGTATATATATATATATATACTGTGTATATATATATATATATATATACACTCTATGATCGAGTACTCAATAGATCTTGGCACCAGAAATAATATTTTTTTTTTTTTTTTTTTTTAATCCAAACAACGTTTATTGTCAAGATAATAGAGAAAATTAAACAGTACTTACAGAATCCACAATGACATTACTGCAACAGCAGGATTACACATAAATAGAACAACGTGGATATGCAGATCCTGTAATGGACAGAATAACAGAAGTCGTAATCAAACAAAACAGAGGATCCAAAACTTTCTTGACAATACCTTGCTTTTTACTTTTTATTCCTTCCGTCAAGATGTAAACAGAAATGGGGGGGAAAGGAACATAGCCCAAAACGTCTTCAAACAATAAAAAAAAAACAAACACATCAACAACCTCTGGTTCACCCGAGACATCTCATCAGAAAAAATGGGAGGTGTGGCTCTACTCCTCTCCCCCAGGGAGAGGAGTAGAGCCACACACCTGAAATAAAAATGTCATACCTGCAAAAGTCGGTCCACTATCAGTTGAGGACCGACTTTTGCAGGTATGACATTTTTATCCAGGTGTATCCACAATATAATATAGTGTAGCGCTATATAATAATACACTAAATAAACTAAGTGCTATGATCCTTCATGGATTTTTAACCATTTTAATACCGTGCAATTTTACACCTTCCTGCCCAGGCCATTTTTCACGTTTCAGCACTCTCACACTTTGAATGACAATTGCGCGGTCATACAACATTGTACCCAAAGTAAAATTTTTATCATTTTCTTCACACAACTAGAGCTTTCTTTTGGTGGTATTTAATCACCGCTGGGGTTTTTATTTTTTGCTAAATTAACAAAAAAAGACCAAAAATGTTGAAAAAAAAACACGTTTTTCTTTGTTTCTGTTATAAAAGTTTACAAATAAATAATTGTTCTTCATAAATTTAGGCCGAGATGTATTCTACTACATGTCTTTGGTGAAAATAACCCAAATTAGGATGTATTATTTAGTTTGTAGGAAAGTTATAGAGTTCACAAACTATGGTATAGATCTGAATATTGATCAATCCTGAAGTACTGACGGCCAATCTAATTTCTTGAGGTCTAAGAATGTCAGAATAGTACAGATATCCCCCAAATGACCCCTTTTTGCAGAGTAGACAGTCCGACATACTTCATAAGAGGCATGGCGAGTTTTTTGAAGTTGTATTTTTTTGTCATAATTTTTCGGAAAATGAAAAAATTAAAAGAATTATTTTCACTATTTTTTTTTTACATACTGTCACCAGTGCAGTACAGCGTCATCATATAACTGGCATGGCGGTGAACAGGGACATTGACTGGTGACAGTATGAAAAAAAAAAAATATTTTTTTTTTTAAAAATTTTTTTTATTTTTTTTATTATTTTTAATTTTTTATTACTTTTTTAAATTTTTTTTTAACATTTTTTTTTTCATATTTTACTATGACCAAAGTAGTACAATGTTACCATAGTAACATTGTACTACTTTGGGAAGAAAGTGATCAGTGTTTTTTTTTTTTTTTTTTACACAATTTGCTTGTAGCAAAGAAATACTTTGCTATAAGCAAGCATTTACCTGAATGAAATGGATTCATTCAGCTTTTTTTTTTTTTTGTGCTTAGCTGAGATTTGGTCACAGCTAATCACATGACATGTGCATGTGATTAGCTGTGACCATTCACAGCTAGGCACTAGTATACAATGGATGGCATCATGAATGAAGCCATCCATTGTATACAACTGTCATGTGACCTGCTGTGATTGGTCACAGCAGCAGGTCACATGGTACCTGCAATGGCGGCCAGTACTCAGATCTGTCATCAGCCGTGTCCGAGGTACACGGCCGGTGACAGATCGCGCCGCTGCGCCGCTCTGCATTAGCGCAAACGGCGCATGTGCGGGAGCACGCCAAATGGCGTGCACCCGGAGTGCAGAAGCACTTTTGAAGCCGCCAAACGGCCATTGGCCGGGCGGCTAATGGTTAAGTGAATAATGGTGACAAAAACTGTATACACGTGAAATTATAAATCTCCACAGTCCCTCTAATTAACACTTGAGGGTTAACAGACTCATAAATCCAATGGTGTAAATGAATATGTGAATCCCTTGATAGGGATAAGGTACTATGTATGGGTGATTAGTGATCAGTGCCACACACTTAACCACATAAATAAAAGTCCACATTAAAAAATATTAAATTAATCATGAACACACAAATGACGAACAGTATTACAAAAGTCCAAATACTGCAAACATAAGATCGTGCTCCCACTTTAAAATCATGCAGGTGATAACGTGTAAACGTGGTCACAACACTTGAGGTGCAAGTACTCAAGTGGCAAAAATGCCCCTTTACCTCCTTACAGTGACCACACGGGCCAGCTCGCTTTTAGGATCACACCACGATCCTCACAGGTATTAATCGTCACAGGTCAATCCCCTCACTCGATATCATCCATAGTGGCACTCACTCCTCTCCTTAAGGTCTCCTCCAGCCACTGGTATCAGTAGTACCGCTCACTCTCCAAATAGGCTCATAATAATAAAGCATAAAGATCCTCCATAGTGTAAAACTCGTTTATTTTAAGCCAAAATACCAAAATAATAAAATGCCCACTCATATGTACAATGTTAAGTATTTGCGTTTCACCTCATACTATGGGTGTACTTACATGGGTAGAAAAGGTGCACCAAGATGGCGCCCACGCCGGAAATGATGTCACCGCGTACCAGAAGTTCCTCCCTTCGTACCAACGTGTTACGTCACGCTAGTCACGTGACTTCATCAGGGTATCAAGCCAACCCTGCCTTACCTGCTGGAACTTACGAAAAGTATTGCGATGTCAGAGGAGCCGATGATAACCAGTACCTTGCTATCAACTTCCTAGCCAGATATAAAAGTCTAGATACCATAATATATCCTCCTGGTTGGAACAGTTCTTGGTCCAGTGCCCCCAACAGACCTTGCAAGGGATCCTGGGGAACAGTATATTGTGATACTAGAGAAATAAATTGGAGAACCTCACTCCAATATCTATGGAACTTGGGGAAACGCCAGAGCATATGAATGAAATCACCCTGTTGGACCCTACACCTTGGACAATCAAGTGAATCACGCCTGCCCCACCGATACATTTGCACAGTGGCCCTATACGATCGATGGAGAATAAACAGTTGAGACAATTTATGAGAGGGAGAGAAATTCCAGGGCAGCATCCCAGACGTCTCCAGCAAACTCTCCAATATCCCAGGACCACTGCGCCCTGCTCCGGAGACTAGCTTGTATCTGTACTGTGGACAATAGCTGGGAGTATACCCGAGAAATCATGCCTTTCTTATGGGTTGCCTGAGTGACATCCTTAAGAAAAACTGAGTCTGTCAATGTGAGATTAGAGAGCGAAGACTGAGCCTGTATCGCATGGCGTAGCTGAAGATACCGATAAAAATGCTTATGTGTAAATGTAAATTCCATTTGCAGTTGAGAAAAGGACTTTAGGATTTTTCCCCCGACTAAAGCTGACATACAAATTTAAGGCCTCGATCCCTCCAGTCGTGAAAAACCTCCAGTTTATCCAGTTCTATATATTGCGGATTATTCCAGAAGGGAGTACAGGAAAGAAATCAGGTAATATGAAAGGACGTTTTTACCGTACTCCAGACGAACCTCAAGAGGTCCGCGGTTGGAGCTGTGAAT